AGGAATGTTTTATGTAGAGCTGAACATTTAAAAATATCAAATATTTTGAACTATTTTAATATATGCACCAAGCTCTATAGACAAAGCCATTGAAATATTGAGACCCTGAAAGGACTTGCTTTCAAGCTGAATTTAACTGAGTTAATTCTTAATCAAATTTGGTTTTCTTTTTTAAGTTATCAACTATGAAACAAAAATTTTAAAGTATGCCTGATATTTTAGAAGCCTTGAAAATATCCCCAGAGTTCAACAGAGATTTTCAATGTGAACATAATTATTGATAATTGGAGGTATGTGCCCTGCAAGACCATAAGGGGAAACTATAAATAGGATAATTCATAAAAAAGTCCATTCTTATTCAGCAGAACAGAAAAGTTTCAGTAGTGCAGAGATGGTAAGAAAAATTATTCTCACAGAAGCATCTTCAGTGCTCGTTGGGAATGTGATGGGTTTTAGGCTTGTTCCATTAACAGTTCTTTAAGAAATTTAAAAAAAAAACAACCCTGAATAATGTTTCAAAACCCCATTCCAGCCTCTTTCCTGGTGTCTTGGCATTATCTCTGATACATTCAAAGTAGTTTTACCCAACTATTAATTGAATCTTTGGGGGAAGACCAGCAGAATTTTCACTCCTCAGCAAAACCAAAGGGCTACAACTTAAGGCTGTCCTAGATCACTGTAAAATATCAGCCATGGGAATTTCACCCTGAAGAATTAGACCTCTGTGAACCTCCATCTCGTGGCTGTCCCATGTTCATCCAGAGAAAGCACCTGGAGGAATGTGTGACAGAGTGATGTGGGGCAGGAGCAGGGCTGGCAGGATTTCACCTCAGCATCAGTGCAAGTGAGAGGATGCAGCACTTAGAGAAGGCAGAGGTTGAAATCACTGTAAGTATGGCTGATAAAAGTAGAAGAAAGTGGATGTAAACATTAGTGAGCTCCAGTAGATTATTGATTTCTCTTGAGTGGTTTGACAGATAAAATGGTAAAACATTCTTCAAATGCATCACTTGAAGAAAATAGGACAATGCGGCAGGGAGGGGAGGAGATGATGAATGTTACTTTGTTAGAGAGGAGAAAATGCAATTGTTCTGCATGAGGTGTTCATCACTTTCCTTTTTCTATTCTACAGCATTTGATAAACGTCCATTTAGCTGTAGCAGGCAAAAATGTGTTTAAAGTCTGGGTTCATGGGTCATCTTTCAAAGCATTACATCTTAATTGGATTAACTTTTGTTCTGCACTACAGTTTAATGTCCAAGGCTCCCAGCAGTTGTCAGGAGAAAGCAGTGAGGAGTTTGAACAAGGAGGGTGGGATGCACCTGCATTCCCATCAGGGAATGTGTGACTGTGGTTTATCTTAGTTTTCTTTTTCTGCTATTAAACCATCAATAGAATTGTCAATAAAGGAGCTGGCCACTTGTTGGAAAGCTCCCATCTATGGTATAGATAGTCAAGAATGCTCCTGAAAAAGCCACTGGTGTCCCAGCAGCATTAGGAATGGAGTTTCAGAAATTCCCTGAGGGGAAAATTCCCATCAGAGAAATTCCACTGGAGAATAGTGGTCTTGGAGGAGAAGCACAGCACTCCAGACACATCTCTTGGGAATGGCAGTGGGCCTGCCCTCAGAGGGTTTCTGTGATGTTGCACAGGCTGGGAGTGCTGCTGTGAGGTAGGAAGGGAGCACAGCAGACAGGCTTTATGGCAGGCAGATACACACGGGTCTTTCAGGTGGGAAAAGAAAGGGAGCAAGCAAAAATGCTGCACGTAGATTTTTTTGACTTTAAGAAATGTAATCTTGCTTATTTACAAAGAACTCACCAGTTTTGTTCCTTAAAAATTTTGGTGAAAAATGAGGTGCAAATGGGAAGTGGAGGAAGACTTCAGCTGGGAGATGCCAACATTTTTAACAGCACCTTCACCCAGCCCTACAAAATGCTCACTCAGTGTGAATCTCTTCTGTAGTCTCGAGCTTTTTGCTCTAACACACATTTCTATGCACAGCACCTTCCAGCAAAGATTTTCTTTGTTTCTGAGTTAAATTACCATAGCAGATTTCCATGTGCTTTTGGAAGGTGACAGAGACAGCAGTTCTGTTTTCAAGGCAGGTTTTCTGAGAGATCTTTACTATTTATTACACCTATTCCTGGTGGAGGATTGCAATTACTATCCCACTTCCAGCAACTCTTTACCTGAATCCTGGCAGCTCTTAATTATGCGTGAAAGAAGTTACATGCAGAGGAATTTCTCAGAGCAAATTACCTGCGAGGTGCATTCCAGCCTAGAACTCTGCAGCAGGGCCATCTGTCTTGTGCTTCTCATTGGTTATTTTTGCTTCAGGAGCTGGGAGGCTCTGCCTGACTTTTGATACCACAATTTGCACTGGGAAGGAATTTCTGCTGCTGCTTTCCCAATGCTTCTCTCTCTCTTTTTTTCTTTTTCCTCTTCCTTTTCTGTTAGTCAGGTTTGGTTCTGTGTTTCTGTCTTTAAATGAACGTCTTGCAGTCTGCTGCTGAGTCCACTTCTGAGTGTAATGCCTATGGAAACACAAAGAAATAAGTAACAGCCTTTCAAATTTCTGATCAGTTTAATGTTAAACCTTATTTTTCAGCTACATAACTTTATTACCCTTCAGTTATAAATGTTTTATTTTCTGTTTAAGTATTCATTAGCAGAAATGTATTAATGTCTATACTCAGAGAAATGCACCACAATGGCAGTCGTGTTGGAATTGATTTCCAAATTAATTTCCAGCCTGCAGAAGCTGGCATTTTAAAAATGTCCTATTCCAAGTGATACTAAATCCAAGATTTTAAATGATGCCCAGCTCCCAGACCATGTTTAATGAGTAAAGATAACTGAGCCAGGACAGATGCACAGATTCCTGGGCCAGAGTAGGTGTAGGGTGCTGGCAGCTCTGACATTTAATGCAGGAAAAGTCTGTTGCCACACAAAAGCAAGGAAATTCCAGTGTTCTCAAAACATCTAGTTGTGCTATTGTGAAAAGATTTTAATGCATGATCCATCTTACAAGATTTCTGTTTCTGTGGGGAAGTTGGGCTTTATTGCATTGGTACTTCCAGAGAAACTGTTTTCCCTAAAAATATCCAGGAAGCTCTCAAGGTTTTACCACAATTAAATTGCATTTATGATGAGTTATTATTTCCTGCCTCATCAGAGAGGTTATTCAATTATGGATGGTCACTCTGTGTTTTAATAATTCTTTCTGAATTTATATTTCATCAGGAACTTAAGATGGCTTGAACTAAGCCTCATTTATTAAAGGTAATCTTAACAGCACAAGGTATGTTAAATTATAAAATGCAAAGAGTTCCAGGAAAGAGCTGATCATTGGGGACTGTAGTACTAACTTGATTTTCTAGATTGACTGCCATTGATGGCTTCACCACTCCCTAATCAATGTGCTGCAGGAAACAGCTTCATGTGTGACTGTAGTTTATCTTTGTTTTCTCTTTCTGCTATTAAACCATCAATAGAATTGTCAATAAAGGAGCTGGCCACTTGTTGGAAAGCTCCCATCTATGGTATAGATAGTCAAGAATGCTCCTGAAAAAGCCACTGGTGTCCCAGCAGCATTAGGAGTGGAGTTTCAGGAAGCCACGTCAGCATTTGTGCCCTGCAGCTCCTCCACAGCAGGGCCAGGTTTGCAGGGACAAGGTCACCCTGCTGCCCTCAGCGGAAGGGGAGTGCCCAGCTGCTTGGGGATGAGAATTACAGGGCTTTTTTTCCTGCCTAATTAGCAATATTACTTTCTATTTTGCACATCCCTCTGCATGTGTTGGGAAGAAGTCTGCAGGGAGCTCATTATGTTCCCAGCCTTGTAATTGGAGGCTTGCAAAGCTGTACCTTCAGGGGGGTGGGAGGTGCATTCCCTTGAAGGAATCCCTTATCCAGGCTGAAACACTGCTGAAAACTTGTAGGAACTCTGTAGGATGTCTCCTGTGGGGCGTGCTTTATCCTGCCCTGCGTGTTCCTGCAGAGAAGCTGTCCAGATGAATCTTCCTGACACATTTTCACTTTGAGATAATGGCTGAGGGCAGAATTTTGGCTCAGATGTCATCTGTTAATGAGTCTCTAAGCAATGAATGGGTTTGGGGAGAAAAAGGACACAATGAAACCTTGCTTATCACCTCCTTGGCATGATTTTCCAGAGCCCAGTGTGGTTCCATTTTCTATCAGTGCAGTTTTGCGTGAGCGTTTTTTATTTTTTCTCCCCTCTGTGGTGGTGTGGGTGAGCCATGGCAGAATCCCATTCCCAGCACTCTGCTGTGCTAACACACTCCAAGCAAGACAAGGAGTTTTCAAAGGAAGGATGTAGGGCAGAGCTTATGAAACCCTTTGAGGACAAGAACATGAACATTTGTTGTGAGAATGGCTGTGACTCCACAGCCACTTCTCTTTGAGCTTTCTTCTTCTAAAGGCTGGATCCCTAAATCAGAGAGGACGGCCCAGTGTACCTCATGGAATTATTTTGTGTAAGCAAGATAAACAGTTTAAACTGGAGGAACCATTGTGCCATTATTGCCTGGCCACCATGGAACTATGCCAGGAGCTGCTCCTTGAAAATTCTGTTAATCTTTACTCAGTGGGGATGTCACTGTGGGAAGTCCCAATTGCTCAAGTTGATCAGCACTTTAAAGAGAATTATTAGTCAGAGGCTTATAAAAAGATGCAATACTTTCCCCCATGGATGAACTGCACCTTTCTTACTCTCACTGCCAGCAGATAAATGATTTTGGATTTGTGTAACATCTGTGGGCATGCACTACACCACATAATCCTGTGGAAGAAGCCTAATTTATGTGATTACAGACATAAAATGGTGTTATCAACATAACTTTGCCTGGAATACAAATGCACAGACCCCAGAAAAAGCCAGAATTAAAAGGGCAGTTTCGTTTCACAGAACTTAGTTTGCAAAATAATAGCTTTTAACAGTTACAATTGAAATATTGGCATTAATGTGTATTTTTTTTCAGGAGTGTCAATGATATCAGCAGCCCTGATAACTGTCTCGTAGGAAGTCAGATGGTTGACAAGGAAAAAGAAAGCAGCAGGAGAAAATTAGCACGTGCTGTCCCTTGGACTACCTGAATACTCCAAGACTGAAAAATTCACTAATATGGTAACACCCAGTATTGCTTCTAGAAGATGCTTCTGGTGTTTTAGCAGAGAAAAATAAAAATTTATTTGCATAAGGAAAAATAATTGCCACAAATGTGTTTGGTTTGCTCACAAATCATATCATTTGGGGCTGATCAGCCTTGGTGTTTGTGGTTTTATTAACATGAGAGGCTTCTGTGGGGTGTAGAATATTTTGGGAAGCTGGTGAGAAATACGCTGTCACACGATGCCTGAATTATTATGCAGATAAAATTTACCAACTTCCCTCCTCCACTTTATCCTATTTGGGAAGAAACATGAGAAATAAATGGCTGGTTTTAGTGGAAGTAAGTGCTACTTCATCTGGAATAAGCATCCTGTCATTTCAAGATTTACAGCAGTAGCCGTTCTCCACTCCCTCTGCTCAGCCTTTTTCACTCTGCTTCTTCTCTGCTTTAATTGCAGTTTTGAGCCTTTCTCATTTGCCTGCTAGCTTGTTTTTTTGTTTGTTTTTTTTTCCCTCAGATAATCCAGAAGGTGAAGAATGACCAGGCAGAACTCAAATGCCATTTTGTTATTCTTAAAAGCTGATTAAAAAGGAGCTGGCCCCTCTCTGGTGCTCACGCTCAGATGCTCTCTCTGGGGTGTTTGAAATTGAGTCATAATTGCTGATGCCAAAAGCTGTCAGTACAACGGGATAGGAAGCAGTCAGCTCTTGCTAGTGTTATATAAAGTTGTCATTTTGGAAGAATGAGCAATGATAAAGAACTGTTGCAGTGCTTTTGCCCATTTTCACAGTAAACCACGCTGTTCCTGTTGCTTGTTTTGGTGTCTAATAAATTAATTTTCTCCTCTAAGGAAGGAATTCAAAACAAGGCCACAATTTAGGGGAGATAAGGCCTTGTTTTTGGAAATATTTCTATTAGACATGCTTGTTCCTTCATGCAGTTTAATAATGTATAAAGAGATTTAAGGTTTTCATGTAAAACATGAAATTGAATGTATTTTTTTTATCGTGGCAGGCATATTAGCAGCATCTAGCTGTACATTTAAGAAAATTCTATAAAACATTCTTAGCTCTGTATGTAATACATATGTTTACAGCACCAAATGCTGACTTCCCTAATCATGTGTGATTTAGTGAGTAATATAAGGCATATTAATATTTATGGTGAAATCTTAGCAGAGAATGCTCTCACTGGCTCCTGCAGTATCAATGTTTTCAAGTGGACAACAGCCTGCCTTCCCTGAGAACTCATTTCTTTGCTTTCTCATTAACATTCAAATTACTTGCAGGATGATTATTAATGAAAATGGACATTGTACAATCCAGCTCTGCAGCCACCATTGCTTTTCAGTAAGCAGCAATTTTCTCTTGGCTGTCTGTATCCCACCAGGTAATGAAACCCTTCTGAAATTCTGCATTTCATAGCTGTAGCTGCAAATCAGCCTTCAGAGCCCCAGCATCTGTGGCACCATGTGCTCGTGCCCTCGTTTGCTGAGTCAATGTTCCAGTTTTCTGCTTCACCTCTTCCACCGAGGGGATAACAGCTTTTCTGGAGCTGTTCTGCACCAGAACTGCCTGCTTCCTCACCCAGTGACTCATTGCTTTGTGAATTATGCTTTAAAAACCTCACAGTGGACAACCTGTGCCCATTAAAGAGCCATAACTTGCCTGGGTTGCTCGTATGCCTCCCAGTGCTGGTGCTCTTCTGTTGTTATCTGACTGCAGCTATCAACTCCACAGACATTAGGGTAAGAAAATATGTTCAGCTGACACACCAGCAGAAACCCACCTGACTGCAGGCTCTGTAAATCTGCCTTATAAATGCCTCTTGCCTTTATAAAACACTGAGCAAAACTAAAAAATGGGCAAATTCTTCTGCAAGGCAAGGAGTGCGAAAGCAGAGGGGAGGAAAGCTGGGAGAGGAAACATTGGATGCATTTGTTTACAGGAGCTGAGGCTTTGTAAATTAAATAGGAACACAAAGGCAAGTGTGTTCTTAGAGTATGGAAATTATTCATTATCTGCACATCATGGCAAAGCAGTTTTACCAAGCAAGCTGCATCCAAAGGGCCTGGCTGTCAGCTGTGGGCTGTTCTTCCTGTGTCTGTCAAGTAGCAAAAATAATATTTAAGTGATAGTTTTTTTGTGGATTGTTATTTGTTTGTTTGGTTTTTTCCCCCAGATAAGCAAAATGATGGAGACTGGCCACCACAAATTGGCTCGTTCTTTCAATTTTGTAAGTATCCAGGTTATGTTTGATAATTTGAAATTCAGATTTTGTGTCTGGGCAAATCATGAGTTTGGAAGCAGAAGGGAATGGTTTCTGTGTATCATTAACCCCCTTCCAAACATCCTTAGTTACAACCAGATCAGACATAAGAAATTAATTATCCTTGGCATGGGAGCTTTGACATCCTCAGTTTTGGAGATGCAGCAATGAAAATCTGGGAAATTCAATGGCCTTGCTCTGTAGTACCTGAAAGGAGATGGATGTTGGGTTAACAATAGTATCTTGCCTCACTTTTACCTATAAATATACTTTGGCTGCATACTGTGTGATTTCCTAATGAGAGGACCTTGCTGTTCTCAGTACTTGGAATTCCAGAGAAACATTTCCCAAGACTTTTCTAAGGCAAAGGTTTTCCTTTGTTTGTCCTGGGCTTCTGCTGTTTCCTTTAGCAGCCCGTGGCTCATTTAATCCAAGAAAATTCACTGCAGCCCTGCACCTACCACTGTAAACTCACATTTCCATAATTCCAGCTCTATTTCTTCTATTTCCTTTGCTGTGCCCCAGTCCCCCCTTTCCCCCAGAAGCCTGAGGGGGTGATCCTGGAAAATAAATCCAGGGATGAACTCTGAGCTGCACCCTGGGGTTTTCCATCTCCAGCCATCAGCTCTGTCTCACGCAGTACCTTTGGCATGGAAATCTTCCTATCTGCACAATGTACAGAATACTCCAGTGCCAGCATGCTCTTGAGCCTCTTAGAAAAGGAAAAAGCATCACATCCTGTTCAAACAGGCCAGGGGTGAAGGTTTTCTAAGCAAAGTCTTGCCAGTTTTCTGGTCTATCAGCTGAAGAAATACACATCTGGGTATTTTCAGTTGTTTCATCTGTCATATTTCAGATTTTCTTGATGTATTTGTATTTGACTTCATTTTTCATGTTTAGCTTGATTTAAAGATTTTGGAGAAAAAATATCTTTGAAGGCATATCTGGTTTTTTGGTTGTTTTTTCCAAGCTGGCTTCTGTTCTTGATTAATCTTCTGAGCAACAATATTCTGTTTTTCACTGTGTAGACACTCTACACATGATTTAAAATCCTGAATCTGAGATGTTAATATTCAAAGCCAGACTTGCATTACTGTGTTTATGACATAGAGATTTTTTTCAATATGTTTGTACCAGTATCTGATTTTTAAATAACCCCTATTTTTGCAGAGGAAGAAAATATATAAAATAAAGGATTGGTTTTTTTGTACTTCTATATTTAGCAATAATGATTATGTGCTTATTTATATTCATAGATACTATATAAAGTTATTATTATTGCTTTATGAGAAAGCAAGTATGTTTTTTATTTTGTAAGAGGATACAGAGTCAACTTTATTTAATGCCCTCTTCTTAAGGGGTAAGGATAACTAAGATGGGAGGAAGTTTTCAGACCAGGGACTCTGGTGCTATGACTTGTGTAATTTTAACCTCTGAAGGTCCAGTAATGTTGTTTTTGCAGAATTACAGCCACATGTTTGGTTCCCATCTCTCCCATGAACATTCTAGGGCTGAAATCTTCAGTTTTGGGGGAAAGGAACATTTTGGCTTTATTCTGTGAGAATATTTGGTGATGCATCTCCTAAAACAGACTTGCTTGAGGGTAACCTAAAGTCACTGATCTGTCTGAATGGGTGTTTCTCAGCACCTTATTTACCTACAAATAAATATTTGGTGGTGCTGGGCTTTGGTAGAGCTCTGCATCTATTCAAAGGAGAGCAGCAGGAAAGACACAAAAAGAAGGGAAAACTTTCTTTCCATGAAGAAAACAATCTCTGAAGCTGCATGCCATTTGTGGGCCTGTGGGAATCAAGGTGTGATTTGACTTCCACAAAACAACATTTCAGAAACAGAATTAGAGGAAAGTCCTGAGGTCAGTTGGTGGCACAGACAGTTCTCTCTTTAAAGCTGAGTGTTTTTGTCTCTGTTTGAGGGCTCTGCCTGGTTGCTCTGTGGCTGACAATAGAGGAGATAAAGCAATAGCTGGAGCTCATCTGAGCTTGGATTCTTGGATGGATCCAGCTCTCAGCTCTTCAGATGCTGAGTGACTCAATGGCATTTCTTGGGGTTTGATTGCTCTGCTCTCAAGAGGCTTCTCTGCAAACCTGGCAGCAGCAGAGCACTGTTCACAAGGAATGGAAATTCTAACTCCAGTTCTTTAAATTTTTCGCTTGACTTATATTATGTTTTCCTCTCACTCATTGAATTGTTTTCTTTTTAAGAAGTTGGACAAAATTCTAAGTTAAGACTTTTTTTCTGTTCTGTAACTGTTTCTTTTTGGCTTGCCTGAAAATAATTTTCTTAATAATGCCACAAGGCAGAGCACTCGTACAAATTAGCCTGAGAGAGATGTGTTGAAATCACTGTGAGACTCTTGCATTATTTACATCGTGACATTCTGTCAGTGTACTAATGCTCAAAACTGTTTATATTCCTGGATTTAACAAATATGTAAATCAGGTGCACATTTCCCTAGGAATGCAAATGTCTCTAATGAGGAAAGACGAACTTCAGAGCAAACAAACAAAACAGAACATGTTAAATAGCTTGTGTGGAGTGGGGATAGAAAGGAAGTGGACTGGAGATGCTGGGATGTAATCCTGGCAGTCCTGGGATTGTTTCATCAGCCCATCTTGAAGCTCTGACACATCAATTGTTTCTTAGCAGGGAGAGAGCTGGGGGAGGATGGCAGCCAGGCAGAGTTTTCCCATAAGAAGGCATGAAAATCTCTGGTTTTGCTCTTTGTGGCAATGCAGGGAGCTGGGAGGATTGAGTTCCACTGGCTGCGTTCGTTAACTCGGGCACAAAACCACTCCAAAGGGCCTCAGCTCTCTGAAACTCTTGTTTGTCTTGCAATAATTAAAATAGCTGTTTGATTTCAGTGTAGAGGCACAGAATGGGAATAGCATCGTGGTGAATTGGGTTTAAGTATTACAGAAGGATTTGAATGTCCTTCAGAGGAGCATTCAGTTCAGATTTCATGTCAGAATGTTGCTCTGGTTTAGTAAGGATGACTGATATCTTGGAATCACAATGCTCTGGCCTGAGTTTATGCATGGTGGGAATGGTTTTTATTGTGCTGTGTTTGTGCTATGCTTGTTATTATGCACTGCTCACTGAAAACTTTATCTTCCATTACAAGCTGAATTCCTTTCTGAAGAGCAATTAAACAAAATTTGCTTACTAAAATAAGACATCATTTATTTCAAGCTGGCTTCTATTTTGAATTTTGATGGCTTCCTGCTAAATATGCAAGCTTTCTTTTCCTTGAAATTAGCTCAGTATCTAAAAATCTGAGTTCCTTGGTATTTTGTTTTTCATCGTGTAGCTTCAGCCCCCAAAGTTCTGATAAGAATTCCATTTCCCAATTATCAGCCATCTTTAAGGAGATCATTATGGTAAAATTAGTCTGACTTTTCCAAGATCTATGAATTATGGATAGTGCATGAGTAATAAATGGGGTAAAATGTTTTAATTAACATTCTTCAGTAATCCTTTAGCTGCATACTGTATGTAACTATTGCCTTCTCTGTCTAATCCCAGACTTTTAACTAAAAATGTGCTGTGTGTCTGTCACAGTCAGAATGTCAGTTGGGTTCTGTGCTGTGACAGCAGCACATTCCTGATGCTCCTGTCTCGTTTGTCACTCCAGAGCTGCAGTTGGACCTGCTTTAGCACACCCTGCTTTGCGCTGCCAGAGCTGCTGGGAGGGAGCACCAGGAGCGAGCAAAACCATCTTGAGAAATGCTGTCTTGAACCTCCCCTGTGCTGGCCACTCTGCCATGCAGATTTGGGTATTAGAGGCTGGGGAGGTTCTCTGAGCACAATTATTGCCTGAGGAAACCTGTCCCAAGGCTGTGCAAATCCCCACATCCCAGTGTCTGTGGAGTGTCCAGCCATGACCCGCAGGGGTGACAATTCCTTGGCATGGGGACATGAGGTGATGCCTCAGGTTTTAGATTTTGTATTTGTGCATTTTGGGGCCATTTGGGTTCATCTTGGGTGCATTTTGGGACCATTTTGGTTCATCTTGGGTGCAGCCCTGGCTCTTGTGCTGCCCAGGGTGGATCCATTGAGGAGATCCTTTTAGTTCTTTAGCTCCATCCAGCCCCTGCTCTAGGGCAGCCTTCCCAAGGCAGCAGTGGAGGCTGTGTTGGTAGCACCGACCTCTCTTCACCCCACTTCACCATAAAGGTGCAGCAAATATCTGCAGCACCAGCAGCCAGCACAGAATTTCTTTCTCATTTCTTTCTCAGCACTCCCCACCCAGCAGCTCCCTCCTCTGCTGTGCAGTAACACGTGTGGGAGGTGCTGCTTTTGTGCTGGCTGCACCCTGAACTCCTCTCTGGAGCTGTAATGACTGTGAGCTGCTGGGCAGAGAAAACCCCATACCCACAAACCCTCTCTAGAAACCAGCATCTTACTAAATTGGTACCTCTAATACCTCTAATTAATGCCTTGGCTGGGTCTCCAGTAGAGCAGGAGTTCAGTGACATTCTTAAGAATTATTCTGCACTATGTAGAAATTAAACTGACTTTTAAGCAGTGTACAGTTGCTGTCAGCTAAAATGCTGCTCAGAAATCTGAACTGGCAGGTGCCCTTAAGTCTTGTTGGTTTGGATTAATGTTTTAAGTACTACCAGAAATTATATTTACATTGCATAAAAAGAACCTGAAAATGTAGCTGCGGCACAGAATACTGTTCAAGGACTCAGAACCTCCAGTTATTTTTTACCCTAATTTTGTAGAAAAATGTGAAAAAAAACCAAACTGTGACAAACTAGCAGATAAGTGCACTAATAATTTATGGTAGTAAACTTGTCTAGGGAGCAGAGTTTATCCAGACTTTCCTAGGGATTTGCAACCTTACAAAAAGAGCTTTCATGTCAGGATTTTTTTTTTAATTGATATATTAGGAACATCCTTCACCATTTGTGTTCTCTTCTTGTATTCAAACTGCTCATTGTGAATATAAAATACATCAAAGTAACCAAAATGGAACATTTGGGATGAAGAATTCAGAAAAGAAAAAAATGACAACTTTATTAAATAGCCTGCCATTGCATAATCTTTGAAAAAAGCTTTGACATGATATGTTTGTTAGTCTTAATTTGAAATATTAAGTTTTTTTAACCAAAATTTTTTATCATTTGGTTGGAATCCTTTGTGCCGGAAGTCGATGTGAATTGTCAGAGTATGGATTTTAAAACTATGGGAGTCAGGAAGAGATGAGCAACTTCTTTGTTCCTGTTTGGAATTATTTCAGTATATTTTCTACACAGAAATATCTATTTGATTTAAAATTATTTGATCCTTTTTTTTTAACTTTTTCCCCTTTTTTAGGCTTTGTGGTCAAAAATAGTTCTGTAGTTCTCTGTTCTTTTCAAGGACAGTGGAAATGAGTTTTTTTTCTTTTCTGAGTTTATGTTGCTCTCTTTTTAGAACTAATCCTTACAACACGAGTCTGACTGGCTTTTCAGATTTAAAAGTTCTCTGAGAGAATGGAGACAAGAAAGGCTGAGAGAGAACAAGGATTGCATGCTAGTTTGATTTTCTTATGAAATAATGATGATTTCTTTTTCTAAATACTTTCTTCCAGAAAGACTTGAAGGGGTGTTTAGCAGCAGTAAATATGAACTTTAAAAAAATTCAGTTTTGCAGGTTTAAAAAGCCTTCATGTGACGGAGAGTGAATGGACAATAATTAAACCAGAGAGCTGGGGGGCTGAAGGGAACTCTTCTGCTTTGGATTTGATGGTTGATAGCTTGTTCCTGTTGGAGTTTTTGGGATGTTTGGTGGTCTGTGTGTGTTTGTGCTTCTCCCTGTACTGAGGATGGTTTCTGTGTTCCCTGTCAGCCTGAGCTGCCTCACTTTCCTCTCACTTTTGAAACTTAAAGGATTTCTGAAAATCCTTCATTCTCAGAGATGAAAGCTTCTGTAAACCTGGGTAAGTCAGCTGCACTGGAGCTGTCTCAGGTGGTGTTGGTTGACAATCTACCTCCCAAATCTCTTTCTTGCCTAAAGTCTCTGAGCAGTGACTAAAACAATGCTATGAATTTGATCAGTGCTCTTATTTTTCACCCAGGTCTTAGCCCTGCTGCTTTACCCTTGATTCAGTTCTCCTCTGACCAATTCCTTTCAAGAAGTAGTGGCTGGTTTTTGATACTGCTGATCCCAAGTGATTTCAAATTCACTTTTCTTTTTTTTGAAAGAGTCATTTCTCCATGTTGAAATAGAAGTTAGCATGAAGGAGGAGGCAGTGCTTCAACAGAGGCTGAGCTGAATATATTTCCTTCTGAGCTCAATTAGCTCGTGATCTTCAATTTGACTGGGAGCTATGATTACAATAACTGCAGAAAAACCAAATTCCAAAGTTTTATGTGACCCTGAAACATAATTATTTTTCAAAGAACATGTCTTTAGATTGGTGTTTTGGTTTGAAAAATGAATTGTGGACCTTCCCAATATTGAGATGTTCCAAATTTGGAAGGCCCTGTTGTATTTTAAAAGGTCTCTTGGAATTTTATATGCTGTTCTGCAGGTAGATGAGCAACTCCTCCGAATGGTTTCTTTTCAAATATGGCCTTTTAAGGCTGGATTAGATCTATCCCAAATTCCTGTGCTGGTTTAGCTGAGGTGGAGCACTGGGCAGTGCCTGGCTGCCAGCACTGCCCTGGACACCAAGCTCTGCCCACAGCCAGAGCCTGATTGCTCACTCTGTCATGGAGAAAGCTCGGGGAGAGACAAGCTTTCATTTGGGGAGCAAACAGAGAATCCTGTGCGTTCATCTCAGCTGCTTCTGTAAGAGCAAAATAATCTGAGAATCAAAGAGGAATCAGAGCAGGCATCCTCCTGCTCGCCCACTTGGTGCCTATCAGCCAGTTTGTGAGCAGAGGAATAATGCATGAACAGTGTCTCCTCTGGAAAATATTTATGACATGCTCCTTCCAGCTCGTTTCCTTGCTTTATTTCATTTTGTTACTGAAAGAAAAGGCTGACACGTTTCTCTGTGGCTGATGCCTTCAGGAATGTTCAGGGTAGTCCCACTGATTTAAGATTTTCAGATTAATACCAAAAGTAATCAGCATGAGATTGCCAAAACAAACCCACCCTTTCTGTTTTGGCTGTAAAAACGCAGAATAAACAGCTTCTGTCTTAAGCACATGATGGGTTAATTGCTCATGAAGTAATCATTATCTTGCAAATACCACTTAGAGCTCAGGGAAAATGAAAAATAAAATACCATGCTGTTACTTGTCTTTATTATTGGAAGACATTCCATGGTGTCAATGCATGCAGAGAATGTCGGACAAGTGTTTAAAGAGCTTAAGCTACTGTTTGGGAAGGATTTCCAGAGAAAACTGGAGAAGCTATTACACAGTGTGCTCCTTCATGTTTTAGAAGGTTATAAAAACGTACAGAATAGGTAACAAGATCCAATAAACAAATACTTTTACGCCTGCTGAACCGTGGGGGTTTTTGCCTAAATAAGAGAGACATAAGCTTTTCATTTTTAATACAAGTAGAATTTCTTTCAAGTACCACTTTGTGTGACATAACAACTACAGATCATAGGAAAATATGGCTGAAAGAAGCTTCACAGACTTTTTTTTCCAGTTTATTGCTCACCCAGAAGAAAATATGAACTAAACTATTTGTCACTAATATTTACTCTGTTTTCTAAATATCTTTTTTTAGCTCCACCACCCCATGTTTCTTTCCCCGCCTTTTTTCTCTTTTAAATGAAACTCTAAACCAGTTCACTGTACCAGGTTACAAACACATGATGATTTGGACATAAAAAGTGAAATTTGTGAGAATTTCCATAAGGAACTTTGCAAGGTAAGTCATGTATATAGTAAGAGCCTGACTTTTTAAACTCTGTCTTCAAGGCTAATTAGGGAGAAGAAGACATGACTGCTAGAAATGTCTAATTTTTTATGCTTAACAATCTCTTGCTATAAACAAATGAAGGTTTCTACCTGTGTGTGGCAACTGTGTTTGAAAAGGACCAGAACTGAGAAAGTTTTATAAAATGAGTCTTTGATTCTGGAAGGAGATAGGAATTGTGGACGAGCCCGTTGTGCTTTTAGTATCTCTCCTCATTTCCACACCCCCTCCCCAGTCAAACCCATTTGGAAAAATGGTGAAATTTGTGGAGCTCAGTAATGCTGAAGAATTGTCTGGAGAAAATCATGTGTGTGCCCACCATTTGGGGTCTGTATGAGGAGCCATGGGATGGGTAAATCAAATTCTGACAAAGCCACAGGAAATCAGTGGAGATGGGAGCAGAAGGTGAGGGCAGTTCTGTGGGAATGGGACTTGGAAATGTTGAGGTAAAGCCAATGTCCTGTTGAACTGAAATGGGCTCTGGGAGTGTCTGAAAAATATCCCTAATGTGAGGGATAAAACAACAGAGCAATGCTGCTTTAAATGCTTCTGTCTGAAAGCAAAGCTCTGCCAACCTTGGCATTAAAATGGGGCATTTCCTATTAGCTGGGGCTTCTGTGATTGTTAGCATTGACCCTGTGGTGACTTACACCCATCAGCACTGGGGGAGTGCAAGGCAGTGCAGTGAGCACTGGGGAGAGCCCTGGAGCCCCAGGTCGCTGCCAGTTTGGCTCAATATTAGAGAATGTCGTGGTGGGTGTGTTTTGTGTCAGAAAGAGTCGCAGAGTTAAGTAGGATAACATTACTGTGTCGGGGTAGTGGGACAATAAATGCACAACAGCTGTTATTAGGCACTGAAGTACAAAATAAATCTGTTTCCAAGAGCACCATTGTGAATGAGAAAGGAGAGAGAGAGAGAATTATCCCTTGCTGGTGGCTTTTAGCATAGCAGGGTAAGCTGCTTTCCTCCTCCTTTCTGTTTCTCAGGAGTTCTCCAGAAAAGAGACTCTTACAGAGATTGTTAACTTGGCAGGGAAAGTCAGATGTCCAATCTTTGTTAAGTTTGTTCTGACTCAAGATTCTGTACACTGTATTTATGGCAAATAAACTAGTACTTATGGCAGATTTGCATAGTATTTGCTCTTGATAAAAATGTTGGTTTTGCCCAGTTTTGGAACCTCCAGAAAACTGGAGGGAAAAGACCCCCCAAGGTAATCATACATTTCTGTTGGACTCTTTGTAATTTTTACTGCTTTTTAATTGACAGCTCTACATTTCAGTATTTAGCTACTGCACTGTTCTTGATCCATTGCCCTCTCTCCTTTCCAGAAACTGGATGTATGATCTTGAAATCACCTTTGAAGTGATCACCCTGGAAAGAACAGAGTGTTCCCTGTGAAAAACCATTGAAGTCAGTTCATGTGATGCACACCTTTGGGTTCCCACTTCCCACAGGAACACATCAGAAGACAAGGTACTTTATTAACTTAACCAAGCACGAATTTGTCTTACAATTTTCCCATTCATTCAAATGGGACATGAATATTTTGTTTCCTAATCAGCACAATTACCCCGGAGCTCACGTTGCAGTGTGTCACTGCAGTGACAGCTCCCCTGAATGACAGCTCCTATCTGTAGTGGGAAATGACAGCATTTGTAAACCAGGCTTGTTTAAAGAAAACACTCAGTTCTCGAGTGACTATTTCACAGTTAATCATTGCTACAATTTACAATATACCTTGAATATATCGATTTTCAACTGATCTGGCTGGCCTGCTGAAAGGGACTTGAATGTGTGTGGCAGAATATTCTGCTGCAGCACCTACTAACAGAATATTGTTGGTGGCAATTAGAGGATTCTCAGACACACTGTGAAATGTGATCTGGTAAAAAAAGTCAGCAGTGATGGGTGTCACAGTTTGTAATGCTCACGTTGGTGGCAAAACTCTTGCCATGCCTTTTGTTGTCACTTGGGCAGTTATTGTCACCAGCCTCTTCCTAATGAAAGCCTTATTTTTTAATGTGGCAGAAACCACCACTTGTGTCCCTGAAGGTGGATTTGCATACACACAAATATATACGTTATATATATTGCTATTTTTATAATAATTATGTATAATTGTTATTCCATTTATCCTTAATGACATCTGGCTTAACAAAAAAGGAGAAATGAGTATTTTACACTCCTGAGCATAGGAAAGGAGTCTGGGACTGAAGGCTGACTGGGAAGCTCTCACATGATTTTCATGCTCATGAATGTAGTCAGAAATTGGAATATAAATCACAGTAAGGTTTGGTAAGTATTTTAAAAATGAGTTTTGGAACTTCAGTTTATATCTGCAGTACATGGACTGTATTTAGTTTCAGCTCTTGGGACAAGGGGTCAGCTCAGTAATGCTTGGATGGCAGCAAGCACAGACTCTATTTGTACTTGCAGACCAGGGAAATTACTGCAAAATATATCTCTAATTCTAATAATGTCATCCCTCCTCCCCAAATGAGAAAAATAACTGCCCACACCAGAAGTGCTTCTGAACACTTTCAGAATGCTCAGGAAATCTGCAAACTGTCAGAAAGTTTTAAGGTGGATTATGGCAGAAATCTTGACATAAGTGCGCTGCAGCCATCAAAAAGACAAATGCTGGTGTCATGCTGATTTCATTTTCCTTTTGTTGGATAAATGTACACATAGTACTTTAAAAATATGGGAGGTGATCTGAAGTGGTTCATAAAACCTTGCTGGTTTGCAAATCACTGGGATGTTTTAACTGCATTGCCTGGTGCTGAGTTAGTGTCTGGAGGCATCTTGCATTCCATTATGCCTTGGGACTGCATCTGCAAGTTGTGGCTCTGCAATATTGATCCAGAAAGTTGGCATTTCGGCTTGCAGAAAAAGAGCAGCTTCTGCGTAGGATCTGTGCTGTGAAATTCTGCTCGTGGAACTTCAACAGCTTCTCCTTTGTTTGAAAAAATGCTGCTGGTTTTGTCTTTCCACTGCATTTCTGTGGAAGAAGCTTTTTTTAGGCTCTTCACTTTCAGCTTTCCTTGGGAGGTTTTTCTCATGCCGTATCTTTTTGGTACCAATAGCCAGAGACTTTGAGAGCAGCACTGCATACATCTATACATTTTATTCACTAAATATAGACATTCATGGTTGGTAAATATGTGGTGTATTGGCAGTTGAAGAAGGTTTCTCTGGAAAGGATGGCTGAGATCGCTGATAATTCTGAATTTCAAGTAATTAAATGGTGCTCAAATAATTTCACAAACATTAAATAATCTTAATGGAAAAAAAATCTAATATTCAGCAGTTAATGACCAAGAAAATCTGTTTTCAGCACTTTAAAGGCATTTAAAATATTTTGATATTTTACACTGTTAATGCCTAAATTATATTACTTAGGATAATAAGAGGACATTTGACTTGTATTTCTGTTACTTACATGCCTGTAAGATTTCCCCCAGCCATTTGGCATGGGACAGCTGAGTGTTCCTAATTATCATTCCCAAGATCCAGTCACTGATTTTTCCCCCCCACCCCCATGCTATATTTACCTTTCATGTGATGGGTTATAAAAACCTCTTACTCTGAGGGCTCAGCAATCCATGTCTTAGCAGGGTGGGTTCAAAATGTTCTGCAGTAACAGATAGTCTTGCCTGGGCGTTTTACAGAAAGCAAAGCCAAGTTTATGTAACAGAAACAGAACATGAAACGTGTGGCAGAGTGTCTGCGATCATCCTGCTCCCAAACTCTGCTACCTGAGCCTTGGGTCGTGTTGTTTTGTTCCTTTTTGTGCTCACTAATTAACATTTTTCCTCTGTCCCAGGACAGCTGTGAGTGCAGTGAGTCCAGCAATTATCAGAGCCACTTGAAAGCTTTTCTTTGAATTGCTGCCATGATGAGACCAGGTGACAAAACATGTAATGAAATGCTGCATCTTCAGAAAAATGTAAAGTTGGTGTCGTGCAACACTTCTTTGATAGATTAGTCAATGTAATTGCATGAAATAAATGTCATCACCTGTATGAAGATAAATAGCTGCTCCTGCACTAGCATGCTTTTGCACATAAAATGTGCCATTTTACCAGTTGTCCCCATTTTTTTGCCAAATAGATTTTATAGTGGCCATAAAAGGAAAGTGTGATGTGTCTACTTAAGTGTTACAGTGTTAACAGAGGGCATTTCTGTGCTTCTATATAATTGAAATTATGACATTTTTACCTGAAAAGTTGTTTTGTAGCCCTGTTACTTGACAAAAATGTTCATTTCCATTTCCTGACATATCTAAAAGTCAAAATGCGTGGAATCAGATGCACATGCATCATTAGCATGTGGGTGGCTGGAATTTTGTGCTCATAATGCTCCTTTTTGCCACGGATGCCTGAAATGGGGCTGTGCTGTGTTCTCCTGGCAGACTGGGACACCAGGCTGGCACCTGCAGGGGTGGCAGTGACAGGGTGGAGATGTCAGCTCATTCTGTCCTGACAGCAGCACTGCCAGGGCACAAGAGAAAAGTGTCCACAGCATGTCCTTGCTATAAAGGAAAGGTCAAATAGGATTGTCAAAAGAATTAAAAAATATTAGAGCTGTTTCAGAGGTTTTAATGTGGATTGGAAAGTATTTCCTCTCGTGCACATGTACAGGGGATAAAGTGAAGACCTATATTGTAATTATGAAAATTGCTAAGAATTTTGGGATGAGTTAACTACCAGGCAACTACTTGGTATCATATTTGCTAGGTTGATTTGGGATCCAAAACCAGTTGTCTGAAATTTTTACAGTGAAGGTCTGCATTTCATCTGACATACTGATATCCCAGGCTTAATGAAAGCAACCTTTTTAACAGCTCACTAAACAAACCAATATGTGTTAGGATGAAGAACTCAATTATTTTCATGTTTGCTAAGTACCAACTATCCTGGACAGGTTTGGACACCTCCTTTCTCTTGTTACTCCTGTTTTGTGCAGAAGTTCTCATTTTGCTTTTTGTAGCTAACACTAATTTAACAGATAATACTTGGTGGCATTTGAAAATGGATTTTTTTCTCTAGGTCTCTAAGTGTAACGTTTCCCCTGTGAAACACCAGGAAAAACATCATTTTTTTTTAGTGTCTGAGGGAATCTGGCTGGATGTCTGGGCGTGGGACACGCTGTGTTTGGTAATCGTGGGAGTGGGTCCAGCACAAGGGCAGCAGTTTATTCCGGCATGAGATGATTCCCAGTTTGTGCCATTAGCTGCAGGGATTGGCGGTGCACTAATTAGAGCAGTGACAGCTGCACAGCCTGTCCCGTGCTGCTGTGCCCTGCCACTCGCTGTGGGTGTGCTGCTAAGGCCTTGCTGCAGATGTTTGCTGCAGATTAGTTCAATCCTCACAACTGGCAAATCCCCAAAGGAGCCACGGGAAACTTCTCAAATGAGTGAAATCAGCTTCTGAACAAATCTCAAGAGGCTGGGTGGCACTTTCTGGGCAGGCAGGCTTGTGAAAGCTCTCGCTGCCTGCACAGCAGTGATTGCCCTGTGCAAACACGCCAGGAGCACCCTCAGCAGGGCCTGATCATGTGTGATAAGGAACAGAGAACACACTTGCTTTTTGAGCTGCATATGCTTTTTAATTTCCCCATCAGGAGATCCACGTGAATGTACTTTCACACAGCTCGTTGGCTAACAGCCCAAACTGTATTTTAATATTTCTGTTCCTGCAGCTGAAGGGGTCAGTGCTGATGTACTGGGACCCGGTTAGCAGTGCAGTTAATGATGCAGAGCTTTCTGCCTTGGCTGCAAGGAGATGTTCCTACTCCTGCAGGGATGCAGGTCTGTGTGCTGATAGCCAGGAGAACATTGCCACCCTTTGGCCGGAAAGCAGAGGCACACGGGGACAGAAGCACATCGTGCAAGCCGGGGATGCTGCAGCAAAACTATTGAAGAGTATATTCACTTGTAATGTAACTGCTCAGCAACGGGAGCCCGGTTGGGTGGAGGCTGTAGGCATCATTTGCTTTGATTTAGTGTATTTCTTAGCACGGTGATGTGTTTGGAGAGAATGTATTATGCTACGTACTAATTATGTTTTCCTGAGAACTGAATTGCATATGCATTGTGAAGATAGGATGAAGGCTACCATGGTTACCATTGTGCACCCAGGAACTTATTTTATACAGTGCCAATTAATCTGAGGTAATGCTTGAGAGGGAAGAACATTGAATAAGAAATGCTAATGTCTCAGCTGAAAGATGGAAATTAGATAGAAAAGCACAGCTTTTATTGAAAATTATATGTCAGGGTCAGCATTTATAAATGAATCCACCTGTATGACTAAAACCAGCAGTTCTGTCTTACATTAAAAAACCTGTATGTCCCTAGGCCTAATTGACACCCAGGCCACTGCTGCTTTATCAAGGATATTCTCTCAACTGGAGTTTTTTTCCCTTCTCATGATTTTAACAGCATATTCCTGCAGTCAGGACTGTAATTGGGGATTGCTGCTATGTCAGAAAGAGAGTGCATTTGTGTGATGCAAAGGCATCTAAATCTTCTGCAGGTTCCAGTTGCTGGGGACAAATCTTGTGTCTCTGGCAGAGGCTTCCAGCTGGTGGGGACTGAGCATGGCCCAGCTCTGACTGCCCCTGCTCCTGGCAGCTCTGTGTGGATCCTGGAACCTTGCTGCTGTGGGTCACCTCTGTCCCCTGTGCATGGCCAGGCTGGGTCACCTCTGTCCTGTGCGGAACTAAAAAAGAGCTGCACAGATGAAGAAGGGCATCTCTGCTGAAGCAAGTTCACATTTAATAATCAAAGTCTTGGCAGGAATATTTCTGCAACCTGTGTCATCGGAGCATGTACGAGCTCAGAAAGGAAGTTTATGTAATTATCTCATTATCTAATTTCAATAATAGAATAATTGAGTTGCCTAAATGCCTATCAGTGGCAAACCAATGGAGATGGCAGATCTGTGGATGGGAAGAGAAACCTTGTCAGTCTGATGGAATCTGCCTGATCTCTGACCTGCTCTCCTTCCTGGCTGAAATGTTTGCTTTCTATTAATTCTTGTTAGAATGCTTGCAGTGAGTAATTTCATTTTCTCCTGCTGAGCCCCCTTTGCAGGTCTCCCTCTGTCTCTGCCAGCAGCAAAGTTACTTGAGAGGCCAGCACTGCACCTGCCCAGGTGAGCAAGCCCTGGGGGCTCCAGGCAGGGCTTGGCTGCCTTTGCCTGCAGGGCAGCCCTGGCAGGAGCATTTTTGGGATGTGGATCCCTCAGGAGGGGTGGGTGAGGCACTCAGAGCATCTGGCTCTGTGGATGGATGGATGGACTCACAGATGGAGCAGTTCTGAGTGGCTGAGCAGCTCTGGGGTTATTCAGCAAGCTGGCACAGATTTGTTATCTGTGAGGCAGCCTGCAGAGGAGCTGAGCCATTCCAGCTGCAAACCTGCAACTGAGAGCGTGGAAGGTGGTAGGGAAATACAAAATACAAAACAATGCCATATTAATTAATATTAATTTTAGAAAATTAGCTTTTAAATTAAAATCATAAGTTATAGAGGGAGATTTTACCTTAGGAAGAAGTAGGACATGGTATAAAACCACCTTGCTTCATTTGCAATCCAAATGAAAACGTGCAGAATGGTTTTTGCAATTTGGGATACTCTTAGAAACTGGGACTCATCCTACAACCAAAAATCATTGCAATAGGACCAAAAATAATGATTGTATGCTTGACAGTAGCTGCCACAGGACAGTGCCTGCTAAATTATATCAAAATGGAAGAAATGTATAGATTATTGACCTGTTGAACAGCACATGGAGTTATCCTTTTGAAGGAGGCTAGCCACTGCTTCTATATGGCATTAACTTGTCCCTCCTACCTCTTCTGCTTTCCCAATTTATGCGTTCCCTGATTTTTGGCAACTTTTGGTTTTGTACTTGGGCTGTATAATTTAGCATCATAAGTAGCTGAGACTGGCAAGCAGAGCGTAACTGATAATGGATCCAGAGGTTTCTTTTATGTGCTGCAGTCATTGTAAACAAGAATAAAACTGATTATTTCAGCAAACAGTCACAAAAATTTGTTTTAATTTTAGATTTTTGTCCACAGAAAGAGGATGGTTTGTATTGGTGAATCTCTGCTGAGGGTGGAAGGAGCCAGAACTGCCATAACTGCACTGACAGAGGATTCCCACAGGTCTTTGTTCTGTGTGACTGTGGAAAAAGGTGGGTTTGTGTCACCTGAAAGCTCATCTCCTCGCTGCTGAGCACTTTGTTTATCCATTCTCCAGGGAGGATGCACTTTGTTGTCATGTTTGATTGCTCAGAGGTTTTAGGAGGTCTCCCCAGGCTCAGCTCCACTTGCTTTAAGGACTTTAAGGCAGTTCTGTCCTCAAGGCAGGAGCTCCAAGGCTCTCCTGGCCTCACTGGGGTGTGTGTAACAGAGCAAGTCAGTGCTGCCAGTGAGCTGAATTCTTCAGTGAGCAGCCAGGAGCCCCAGTGAGCAGAGTTCTGCTCGTTTACTCCCTGCAGAGAAATGACATTTGCTCTCCACAGCATTTTCTCCTGAGAGGACCAGTTATTGGTTTATGTCACCAGCAGTCTGCCACTCCTCAGTGGCCGATTCCTCCAGGCATGCATGGATCCCCTTCCCTACCCAGTGATCCAAATTCCACTCTGTGAGGACAGAAATTGTTCCTGAGGATGAGTTAAAGCTCATCAGGTTTTGTTTCTGGTCCAGTGCTGCAAAGTGTGGGCTGTGTGTATAAACATGCTTGTAGGGACAGAAGGCTTCAGTAGCCTTTTGTATTCATTAGCTAATTCTAATTCTAATGTATTCTAATTCTGTCCAGGCCTCTGCCACTGGTACAGGCTTGCAGAGCTTGTCAGGATAATCAAAACAGCAACAGATAATCAGAATGGCAAATTTCCCCTTCTTCCTTTACCTGCTGCAGCTGGTTTGAAGGTAAGTAGCAGACCATATGTATAAAAAATAGACAATACTATGTTAGTCTATACATTATTATGTGTAAGGTAACCTTTTCATTGTTTTGAGGGTGATTAAAGCCATCAAATTTGAGACAGAAAGCAAAAAATAAGAATGAGAAAGCGATGTTAAAATTTTGTGGCAAGCATATGAGAAACCCCACATCCCTGACAGCCCTGTTCCTGGATTCCCTGGTGACATTACATTTGTTTCACTCCTGGAATTAAATCTGTGTTTCTCATCTGAGTTAGGTTTCAGTATCTCTGCTCTTTGTTGCTTTCTGAAGGAGCCATTTAGGAGATGAACTGTGTAATAATGCAGTGCAATAATTAAATGCTGTGGTGGCTGCTGTGGTGAGCAAACCTTGTTGGCCTGGCTTGGTCCAGGTGTCACTTCAGTGTCACCAGGGACTCACCACTGCCTGGGACTGCCACTGCTACTTCTGAGGCCCTTCTCTATTGCAATACAGTTTATCCAGGCTTCACCAGGAAAAGAAATCATTCAAAAATAATCAAAAAGAATGAGGAGGTAACCCACTGATGAACTTTGTCCAGCCTGCTCTAAGTTTTTAGCCTTCCTGGTTAAATATTCTAAGCCAACAGTTGTGGTGCTCTACACAATGCATTAAACAGCTCAATCCCACTGTCCTCTCAGCATCCATAAATTTAGTGTTTGTATTCCTGAAGCAGCTGTTTTCTTCTCTTGCTCTACTTTAGCTCTTCTTCAGAATACAAATTCCAGCTCATTTCCATTTTTTCCAGACCTAACACTTTAAAGTTTTGTTCTGCTTTTTGGTTTTTAACTCTTTAGACCAAAAATTGAGTGGCTTGAGGACCACTCTTTTATTTTTCAAATAAGATATTCCTTTGCTGTTAAATATTTCCCAGTATTCTTGATCATCCTTTTGGCAGGGTCTTCTGGGACAGTCTCTGAGACAGAAGAGCTTGTTCTTCTTCTTGAATTTGACTTGATTGCTTTCATGCAGAACTAATTGCCATGTTTTCACAGGTGAGTCCTCATCCTGGATGCACTTCAGTTTTTACACATCAAAGAATAAGACAGACTTTGGAGATGGAACTTTTAAGATGGGAATTAATAGGGGCTGTGCTTTGTCCTTCAGAAAACTTCAGACCCAAAGTGTTATGGATTTGGCAGTTGAAAATTCTGGCAATAGTGGCAGCTACTGCTAACAGCCCTTCCCTTCCCCTCCCTTTGCTACAGGCTAAGGTCCTCTACTTCTCTTTAAAATCTGAAAAGGATGGTGCTTATATTACTCAAACAACTCTTAAAAAAAACCTTAAAGTTATAGATACAGTTCTAAATATCTCTATTTATGCAAAATTTATATACATGTTCACTAAAATAATAAAAAATCAGCTAAAATTACTGTTCCTTGCTACACATTTACAGCACCATGGATAGAAAAGCTGCCAGAAGTACTTGGGGAAAGATCTGGCCCAGATTTGTGGCTTGGGAGTCTGATACAAAATGTGGGAGAGCCTGTCTAGCTTTTATTAATGCCATCTTCTCACTTGGTCCCTGTTCCCTCCCAGAAGGCCAATCTGTACTGTGGAGAGACAACTGCTGGCAGTTTGCAGCTGGCTGGCAGGCTGGAGAAAAGCACCCTGAATATCTAAATTCGAGGTAAGAAAATATTGTAAAATCACTTCTGCTGCACCACCAAGCTCATAGGACACTGCACAAACAGACCAGGATAAAAAATATTCAATGGTAGCTTAGACTGCTCAAAAATTTTAATTGGATTTGAGATAAACTTTTGTTACCTTGTCTTGCTGTCACATTTGAGAAGTGCAGTAATGTTTTCAAGTTCCAAGAGGAAGATGTCCTGCATGGATGGGACATACAAATTTATATTCAGACACTTCCTACATAATAAAACCACACTCAAGTGCAGGGACATGAAAAGTGTTAAAATACATCAGCAGTAATATTACAGATGATTATATTTGGCACCTGGTGTAGAGCATACCTATGAAGAGGAATTCCCATCTAAATGACTGAAACTCCCACAGCGATGATGGAATTTATTTCTTAGGGGGCTGACAAGCTGATAACAAAGACTGATATCACAGTGACTCTGGCTTTGTCAGGTTAAAATACAATTCTCTATTAGCTGTGCACATGAACAGAAGGCTGAGCTGCTGCACTGGGTGCACCTGGAGCAATCTCCTTGTCTGTCCTGAAGCTCCTTGTTTGTGTTCTCCCTGTTTATCCCCCCAGTCCAGCTGAGGGGAGGGTGAGCCAGGAGCTGGGTGCAGTTTGATCATCAGCCAAGGCTGCCCACCACAGTTCTGGGTGATTCTGTGTCAAACTGCGTTCCAGACTAGTCTGGGAAGGATAAATGCCTGAAAATGAGACCTTCCCTTCTAGAAAAGGTGGATTGTTGGGTTGTGTGGGTTTTTTGTTTGTTTTGTTTCACTGGTTAGTTGCTGTTTGATTTTTAGCAAAGAACAGGTATAAATACCATGTCCTGGGATGAATTTATGTTGGAAACTGCTCCTGTAGCTGTTGGACAGTGAGGGAGCAGTGTTACTCTGAGGAAAACGAGTCAGAAAAAACCCATAAATTTAGAATAAGCTGCATCACTTAGTGGGGGTCTGTCTGACCCAGTGGTGTCCAGCAGTGCAGGGCTCTGCTGGGTGGTGCAGGGAATCCTGGCAGTGCCTGGGTCTGTGGGGATTATCCAGGAATTCCTCCTCAGCTGGGAGTTACTGTGATGGATTGCCAGCTTCCTGAGGAGACTCTGTTTATTTTGGTGATGCTCACAGGTATGTGCAACGCCATCTCTCCTCAGCCTGTACTTGGCCAGAGGTTAAATCTCTCAGGTATTTATTTGTGGTATAGTTATGGCTTGGTTCTCTTTCCTGCCACGGGGGAAAAGCACAAACCAGTCCCCAGGTTTGCCAGGTAACTGTTCAAGCAAGTATAAAGCAAAAAAGGCTGACTGCTATTGTAAACAGAATGTGAAGGGAGTGGCAGAGCTCTGAAACTCTTCCTCTGTTATCACACTGGCATGAAAAGAGATGGAGATTTTTACACATTTGCTCTCAAAATCAAAGTGCTCCACTGAGAAGTTTAAAATACTGCCATAAATACAATAGGCTTTATTAATTATGCCTGCATCTATAGTTGCCAAAGCTTTTTAGTTACACAAAAAGATCAGGAAAAAAGCCTATGGCTGAAAATAAAATGAAAATGCTGGTTGGTCAGTAGTGCTGGAAGGACAGCGTGTGTTTAGTCATGGATGCACAATCATGCTGATGTCTAAAGTAAAAGTCCATGAACAAACTCTTGGCCAGGTCTTTTTCCAAGATTAATTTCATAAGAAAGTGACAATTTATTAAAAGGTTTTAAAGAAAGGTCAGGTTCTGATAAAGCTTCAGAAGGGAAGTTATTTTAGGTCCAGCATGATTACCTGATAATGAGGGACCCAGCAGCCTGGGTTTTATGGCATTCATTAAGGGGTGAGAGAAGGAAGATCTTAGGTCTGATTTAATGTCTATTCCTGTCCTCTCCCTCAGAAAACCTCAGGTTAGCAGACACTGAGAAAGCCAGGAGAAAAAACTAAATTATTTTTGCCTAGATACCTTTCATCAAGAAACTTTTTACAAGGGCATATAGTGCCAGGACAAGGGGGGAAAGCTTCAAATGACAGGGAGGAAGTTTGAAGTAGATATTAGGCAAAATTCTCCCCTGTAAGAGTGAATATATAAGTTTGAAGTAGATATTAGGAAAAATTCTCCCTGGAAGGATGGTGATGCCCTGGCACAGGTTGCCCAAAGAGCTGTGAAGTGTCCAAGGCCAGGCTGGATGGGGTTTGGAGCAGCCTGGGACAGTGGAAGATGTCACTGCCATGGCAGGGTGGAATGGGATGGGCTTTAGGCTCCCTCCCAGCCCAAACCATTCTGGGATTCTGACTCTGGTCGTGGTTTCACCTGAGCCCCTCTCTCATTCTCTCACTGCCTCAGTCACTTCACAGCAGGATTTTGCAATGTTCCCTCTCTCCCACTGAAGGAGATTCCACAGGGAATTGGGACACAGATCCCTGACCCTGACACAGTCCCATGTGCCAGTCTTGGGTGGCAGCTCCCTTCTGCATTAACTGGAAATCCCTTTCTCCTTTTCCTTTCCCTGGTTCTTTCTGTCCAAGCAGATTTGCTCTGGACGTGCTGAGGTTGGGAGTTCTGAACATTCTCCAACTTTTCCCGTGCAATCAAAAGTAACATGCTCTGCCTTTGTGTGCCACTACAGAAATGCTGTTTGAGACTGCAGAGAGCAGAACTGTGTCATTAGGAATGCAGTCAGAGCCCAGCACAGAGTGGCTCGTTAGAGCACTGCAGCAATGAGCTATTCTCTGAGGCAACAGCCAAGTAATACATTCAGATATAGATTTTTCTCTTATTTCATCTTCCTTGGATATCTTTATTTTCAGAGGGAATCACGTAATGCCTTTACACTGATGAAAGTGAAAGCAAAACCATTGGTAAAAGCTCTGGGTGGTGTTTGAAAGCTCCCACTGCAGCCTGCCAGGACTGGGTTCTGTCGGGTGTCTGCGTGTTTGATTTCTGCCTTTAGCAGCTGTTTCAAGTCAAAGAGGCCTTGACTTGTATAATTTACTGCTGATTTGTAGCTGGGATACATATGTGTTCTGATAAACACAACGGCCATTTCAGAGGTCAGAATTACCCAGGCTCAGCCTCTCAGTTACAGGGCTGGCTCTCATTTACATGCAGCACAGGTAGCAGTGCTCCATCTCTTTCTGGAGACAAGAAGGTGTCCTCAGAGTTAAAAATCCACCCTCTGATTTGCTGCTGAAGAAACAAATCAAACCAGCTTTGCACTGCAAATGCCATTTAGTGTTTGCATCACAAGGACTAGGGGTGCACAGGGAGTACCTCAGCAGGTGCCTTAGGATCTTTTGAGGTGAACAGTATTAAAAAAGTCCATGTGGAAGTTCTGAAAAATATCCAGGAGAGAGAGACAGAGAGAGATGTAGCAGCTTGTGTTCACAAAGGTGGCAGGGAGGCCATAATGAGGTGTTTCTTTTTAGGAGAAAGGAGGAATCAATGCCATACAAAGCCAGACCCAGGAGCACACCATCAGTTTTTGTAGCTGTTTCCAGGCTTCATCAGAATACAAAAGGAGGCAAATTACTGAAGGCTGTGCTGACAGAGTTCTAGAAGTTTGGGAAATTGTCATTAGCAAAACTCAGGTGGTTTTGTCAATGCTGTGGGCAATTATGAATTCATAATATTTTGCATCAGTGCAAAATACTGAATGAAGCAGTGAATTGCAATACACATTTATGGACAAAAATTGTCAAAAAGGTGTTGGACTTTTAGAATTTTTAAAATGGTCATGGGCAATGTAACTGATGGATAGATGCAATATATTTCTTTTTAGGATGAGCTTAAAAGCTTTTTTATTCCATTACTGCTGCTTCATTCTTTCCCTCCACCTCTTTACATCTCAGATGAAAATACCAGACGAAAGAAATTCAAGTGTACATTTCTAATCCATGTAGCTGAATTGCTGCAATGGACTTCAAGGACTTCAGCTTCTGTCTTTGAATACCCAGATGATGGAGACATACACTACATCAAGTCAGACTTTATGACCTTTGTCTGTCTCAGAAAACCAAGAAATCCTTTTAGAATACAAAGTGGGCTTTGGCTGCAGTGAAGTTTGGCAAGTGTTCCTGACTGCCACAGCACATTTGTAGCTAAACTGACAGTGCAGATTCTCTAAACATCCAAGCACAGCCAGGTTTATCACATTCTGCCTCTTGATGTTTGTAAATTAGTCTTGCTTCTCTCTAATAAAAATCCGTGTAGCAGAACCAAGTGTTCAGCAATTCTATGACAGGAGACACTATTATTTTGGAAGCACAGCTATTTTTCTTCAAATTAACTTGTTGACAAGAGGAAAACCATGCTGGAGTCACTCGGAATGTTTCCTGCTACATGCCAGAAAAGCCTCCTCTATCACTTGGAATTTTAACGTGCTGTGCTTTTGTGGAAGAAAGAACTTTATACAGTGACATCTTGATACCACTCACATCTTTATATCTCAAAACAAAAATAAAAACCCAAAAAACCTAGGGGTCAGTTCATGAAAGCAATTCCAGATCTGCTGAGGGCTCAAAAATCAGCTTTTGTCCCAATATTGACCAATTTTTGGGTTGATATAATTCTCAGTTTAAAGGTTTAAATTGCTTCAAACTCTTGGTATAAGTTTCCCAGAAGATAAAAATAAAGATTGCCATATGTGTTATATAAGATTTAAAGCTCTATCCTGAATTAGATTAAACTAAAATCAAATTGACATTGTTGTTTTAGTTGTGAGTGCTCTGATGGTGGTTTGATATTATGTAGCATTACAATTGAAGACCAGAAAGGAAAACAGTGTTCAGTCAGTTTATCTACTTCTACAAAGAAAGGGAAGAAAGAAAGGGGAGAAGAAGAAAGGGGAGAGCGACAGAACTACTTATAATTTCCTTTTAATTAAAATCCTCCAAATTATTAAAGTGTGTGGAAGCTTTATGCAGGTGCATGGCCAGTGGCACTGGCTGAAAAACAACTGCAATCCAGGCAGGGGCTTTGCCCTGCCCCTTCCAGAGCCTC